ACTGCTGGATCTGAAGAAACCACCTCAGAGCCACACAGCCTTGAGCTCCAGCAGCTATGGAAACACAGTCATCAGGCCACATTTGCAGTGGAACTGTGAATATTCACTTAGTGAAAACTGTTAAGTCACTCTAAATTGAAAACGGCTTGCATGAATTTCCAGTGTCATCGTCATCTCTTCTAAGTTTATTTCCGTAATTACTTTAGAACTCTAGCATGGGCAATGAAAGGATCTTAGGGACATGTCTAGAACATGTCATAACCATATGCCAAGAACAACACAGGTAGGCACACAAAGGAGAAGGAAGACATGTGTGCCTATCAAGAAAGAGAAAAGCCAGAGGAGATGATTATACAACTGGGATATACTGCAGACCTGTTGCATGAAGATAATTACAGAGAAGTAGAACCACGACACCAGAATGTTCCCAAAGATAATAATGACTAGGGCTTTTCTTCCTTAAAATTTATAAGCTACTACTTGATACATTTTTTCCCTTCCTGGCAAATATAAAAACATTTTCAAATTACACTGCTCCAATGCAATATGTTAGATGAAATGCTACTGTAATAAAAAAAGAAAAACATAGGTAAAAGAAAAGCCCAGGTAATTTCCACATTAGCGGGAATGTATTTATTTAGTACCTTGAATTTTAAAATTATTTCAAGTTCAGAATTTCTCAGCTGAAGAAGCTGATAAAAGAAATTATTCTTCTTAAAGTATTTAACAAACTTTTTTATAAATATAAATATAAAACCAATATAAAAGAAAATTTTATATTTGAGAAGAAAACTTAAGACAATACCTTGGAAATGTCTAAGACACGGAGAAAAGGAATTAAAATGTGTTGCATTGTATTCTACTGTTGCAATAAAAATCAAGTTTTTCATGATAATAATTGAACAAAGAGGTAACCTTTATATGTGTATATAAATTGCATTGGAAAATAAGGTAACCCATTTTAAAATTATTAAACCAAAAGTGTTTTTATCAAAACAATAAATAAGTGAATTTTATAGATAAAAATACATTTATATGAAACTTAAATGTAAAATGAATCACCAAAAGACTGAATTTCTGTCATAAAGCAGAGATGATGGAGGATTACACATTCCGGTACTGCTATTATAGCTTGCTAATTTATTTAACAAGGTTAAAATTATACATTAAAACTTTCAGTGTTAATCGTTATTTGAGAGAAAACAAAAAGTTACATAGTTTGACTTAAAAGTGCTCCCACATGGCATCTATCCCTCATGGAACACTCCACTCTCAGGTTAGAGATAAATCCATGAGTTCTAAATTTTCAAAACCTAGAGAGATGATTTTGATTTACGATAGTGGAACATGACAGGCAGTATGAAAACCCTGGGTCCAGTCATTATTCTTAGAATGCCGTGTTTTCATTTGCAGGACACTCCTCAACAAAGGAGTCTGATTTTGGTTCACAGTTCTTAAATTGTGCACAAATTTTATTATGATAGCTTGCTACCCACAGAGGAAGTTATGCATAAACAAAAACAACCGTATGTTTTGCTATTTCAATGCGAGCCATTGTAACTCTTTTTTGGATCTTGCGTTTTAATCAGCTGGTACTTAATGTGAACCATAACCAGCAGAAGTGGATGGCGTTAAATTAACACAAAACATAAGTTATAAAAGGAAAAAAAGAAGAGGACATCAAGTGAGTTAAGTATAGTGGTATAGTTAGGAGTTTGATTTTTTGGGGGGGGGGTTGTTTTTACATTGCCCAAGTGATCTTGTAACCTAAATCATGACATTAATAATCTAGTTGGTAACCGTTGTTTTCAAATGTTGCAATTAAAAATACTACCCAGCCTAAAATTAAGCACTTTTCTGCAAAAAGACACCACTTACTATTTTTTGAACAAATTATTTTATTTTTTTAAATATATTCCTGACACCATGTGTTTGTTCTTGCAGCTAGCTATTGACTATTATTTTTAGATAAGATAAGCATATTCATTACCAACAAATTAATCTTGTTTTAAAAAGCACTGAGAAGTGTGAGGTGATTAAAATGGAGGACTTCCATCTGTATCTCCAGCTCGGAGCCTAGTGATTGGTGGCGATGCAATCTCAATAAATGTAAGATCTAATAATTTACTTTGAGTATATGTTTTAAATTATACACAAAATTTGCTCAAAACTGGGTTTTGTTTTAGAAGATGTACTCAATCACAAAATGTGTTTTATAAGCTAAATTTAAAGCACATCACTACTAATTTTTTTATTATTTAAGAAAAATTATTACAATGCATCTGTAAAGTGCACTTTCCTACAGCAACCTTAATTCTTTTAGTCTTACTTCACATTGTAACAGGATTAATTTTATAAAGGCAAAAAAACTATTGTGAAATTAGTAGTATGATCTAATAAAAAGCAAAACATTCATACAAGTAATATTTACAGTTTAAGCAGATTTTTATTGGTTTTGATTTTTCTACAAAGTACAGAAATTCCCCTCCTGCACTTTCTTTCTCTCTTGCCTTAAGATGTTTAAAAATTTCAAAAAATCTGCATCTTCTACAGATAAAGAATTTGGGAAACACCGAATTATTTCCAAAGACAGTTATTTTTCCTTTTTCTCCTTGTTGAAAGTCTTGAAGACCTTCCCCCAAACTTCCAAAATCTCATTTTCACTTGAAGTAATTGCATCTATTTTTTTTTTCAGGTGAAGGAGACATTCTTACAAAGTTTCAAATTTCAAAATTCCAATAAAGCACTTAAGTTAAGCACTCCTCTTTATGTGTGCGTGTATCTATTATTTTGAAGTTGTTATTTATACTGAAATGGAATCTTTTTAGCTCCCCAGAAATACCTTAGTGAACCCTCAACCGTTTCTAACCACTTAATAATTGTGACCCCGTCAGCCCCTTCAAGTAGATCGTTAACCACAAGAGTGTCTGGCAATTTCCAAACCATAGCCTCTGTCCAAAAGGAAAAGATAGGGTTTTTTGAGGCCGAAAGGAAGTGAAAGAAAACAAAACAAACGTAGCTCATGCAGAAAGTGAAAAGTGCTTGGACAGATTAGTATTTTTCTTTTCTGTAAGGCATCCTGCCAAGCGTCTCTCGATTTTTGCTTGTAGGAAAGTGTTGCTATCTACCACTGCACGGTCCCCTCATAATAACTGTCGTTTTGTGTTTTGCTCATCCGTTCTCATCTGACAGACACCCCCGCCTCACCCTGTCAAAACTCCAACTCAGGGGGCTTGGGTGTAGAAACCCTGCCGAATCCAGACGCTGCATCCCCCCCGGTCCCTTCCACAAAGTTTATTTCAGTCCTGAGCCCCCCCCCCCCTCCGCCCCCCTCGAGCGGTTGCAGTAAGAACCGGAAATTTTGATTTAACTCTCTCCCGCCCCCCGAGCCCCCCCCCCCCCCGTTCGGAGCCGATCGGTAGGGAGCCTAGCTCGGGCAGGGCCTCGCTCTCTTGCTCCGGAAGGCTTTAATTTGCACACTCGCCGCCGGGCGGGTCTCGGGCCCCCGGGACTTGCAGGTCCCCGCCCCGCTGCGCAGCCTGCTGGCCTCGGGCCCCCAGCCACGGCCAGAGCCCCGAGCCTCCCCGGCCTCCCCGCGGGCGGCGCCTTCCCTCCGCCGTCCCTCCGCCCACCGCCGCTGTGCCCACCCCCTGCCCGCAGAGCGCTGCTCGCCGTGGCCGCAGTCAGTTACCTGCTCCGCGCGGCGAGCACGTGCGGGGGCCGACGGACACCCCAGCTTCTCGGGAGGCCAGTGCCCCTGGCCCACAGGTAAGGAGCCACGGGCTCACGTGGGTGGACCAGGGTAATGAGGGTTGGGGGGGGGGGCTGTGTGACCCCTCGGAATTCGCGTGGGTTAACTCCTTAGCGCTGAGACTGGGTAGGTTATGGGGGTCAGCTGGGGGAGCTAGAGGTCTCAAGGGGGACCTCCCACACCAGGGACACCCCGACAGCCAGGGTCCTGTGCCAACTTGAACAGATTCGTGCGCACAAACACCCACCCATACGTTCAGTTCTCATGGAACTTCTCCAAAGGAACTCCACTTGGACAGTCAGATTTAAGGCTGAAAATGCACCGTCTGGTGGGATTCCGCCCCCCACGTTTATTTTCCCTGAGCAAGTTCCCTCTGAAGCCTCCCGAGGTGTGGGTACCGGCTCCATCTTCCCCACTAAGGCATAAACGTTCACTTCGGCTTCCTGCTGGCGACCCCGCGAGCGTATTGTGCACGGAGGCGTGCACGCAGCCCACCAGGGTTGAAGCCCCCGCGAGCACGCACGCAGGCTTGCTTAGTGTCCCAAGTTTACTTTTCTTATTTAAAGATTTGCAGTTCAAATGCAACCCTGGCCAAGAGCAGCTCGGGGCTCGGCGGCGCACTAGTCCCCGTGCACGTGGGCGTATCTGCGCGGGCGCATCTGCGTATGCGCACACGCGCGAGTCGCGGTCCCGCGAGCGGCCTCCCCTCGCTGCGCTGGTGGCGACCCTTGTAGCGTTTGGCAAGGCTTCGGGAGAGGCTCATGAAGGATTTCATTGAGTGTGAAGACAGAGAGCAGAGACAGAAAGCAGAAGGAGGCGGCTGCAGTCTTTGTAGTCGCGGAGGAATGCGGAAATGTTGAAGCACTATGTCAAACTTTTTTGAAATGGGGTCAAGTCACATTCAGCCAGCGTGGGAAAGCAACAACAACAACAAAAAAGTGGAGGAGGGGATGGGGCTAAGCACCGCCGCTCGCGTCCAGGGGGTGCAGGCCCTCGGGGGTGGGACAGCGGCCGCCTCCGGGAGCCTGGGCTGGATGCGGCCGGAGGGGGAGGGCGGGCGCCGAGGCCGCGGCTCCCGCTACCTGTGTGGCCCTCGACCTGGCGCGGACCCCCGGGCGAGGTCTGGGGGTTCCTTCCGCAGCTTTTCAGGAACTCCCTCAAGGGAGCCCGGAGAGTCCGCCCTGGCTGCGCAGTGCACTCCCGCACCCAGTGGGGGTCCCGCCTTGTGTTGTTTAATTCCAGGCAGAAGGGCGAGCGGGGGAGGAGGGGTGCGGGGCAGGTAAAATGCTGGCCCAGGGTTCCGGACACGCGGCTGTCGTGGGCCAAGGTCCAGCCTAGGCTGAGGCCACCGTGGGACGGGAAAGCTCGCTCGGTCTTCCTAAGAACTGAACGGGGAAGGGAGGCCCGACCTGTCGCGCGTGGGACCCGGCCTCCAGTCCCCGGGGAGCCGAGCGACCTTTTCAGCTACCGACCTCCAGGCGCTCGGGACACCGGGCGGAGGTTCTGCCGTCATAACCCAGGGGCAGCCCCCTCTCACACCCGGGACTCCTACGTTAATCCTCCACCCCCACCGTCGTAAGGGTGGTTGCACGGGTTGAGTCGACTGAAAACTTAAGGACCAGTCACGGTTATCTTTCTAAGTCCCGAAATTACTCTTTCAGGACTGGACGAGCGAAAGTGTGACGGACTTCCCTTCCAAACAGCCTTGGGATCTCGGGAGGTTGAGGGGAGCACGACACTCCTCCCTTTCCAGGGCCCCTCGCTCTCCCACCCCTAGTAGCCCCAGCCCTCCCCTACCAGATGGTCTGTCCTCTCTGAGTTTCCACCAGGGAGGTCCTTCGAGTCGGAGGCTGGCCGAATTCTGGCTCCCCCTAAGATTGCCATACCCCAAAGACCATTTGTGTATGCGAGTCCTTTTTAAATGTCTCTCGGTAGAAAAGCTGAAAGTAGAAAGAAAGGGAGCAATTTCCGAGCAGATGTCTGACCACCCCTACTCGCGTACTCCCAGCATCGGGTTACAGGGTCCTGAAGCCCCAACCGCAGTCCTCTGCCCCACAAGGGTGAACCCCGGGCGCCCCGGAGTCGGGGAGGGCAGCGAGAACAACGGTATAGGTATAAATATTGAGCTGTGACATTGACGCGCCCGGCGCCTCCCCTCCCCCGCGCTCCAGCACACTCTGGGCTGCTCGGCACGCCCCCTCCCGTCCCGCGCGGCGCTCATCCCCGAGGGGCCCTGCAACCTCTCCTCGCGAAGACTGCACGAGCCCTGCTGGGCAAAAAAAAGTAACTTGGCTTTTCTCCGAGAAACCCGGCGAGATTAGGCAGCTGGGTGGAGGGCCCGGGCGAGCAGAGGGGAGGAGGGGAGCTGGTGGAAGCCGGTGGAAGTCTCCAGGGCTGTCTGATCGCACTTTCTCCTTGTCCTCCCGTCTCCTCCTCCTAGGTGCGGAGATTGTGGGCAGACCAAGCGGTCGCTGCGGAGGGGGAAGAGGAGGGATCGGCACTCTCCAGCGGCGGCGGCGCGCGACTCGGCTAGGCGGAGTTTCGCGGCGGCTGCGCCCGTCTTTGGCTCGCGGGCAAGGAGGGCGCCCTGTCCAGCCCGGCGACAGCGAGTCCGACTCCGGGCGTCCCCCAGGCGTCCAGACAGCAAGCGCACACTCAGGACCCTCTGTGCTGCACCGGCAGCGTCCAGCCAGCATGGAGAAGGACAGCCTGAGCCGTGCGGACCAGCAGTATGAGTGCGTGGCGGAGATTGGCGAGGGCGCCTATGGGAAGGTGTTCAAGGCCCGCGACCTGAAGAACGGCGGCCGCTTCGTGGCTCTGAAGCGCGTGCGGGTGCAGACCGGAGAGGAGGGCATGCCGCTCTCCACCATCCGCGAGGTGGCGGTGCTGAGGCACCTGGAGACCTTTGAGCACCCCAACGTGGTCAGGTGAGCCGGGAGCCCTGGCCTTAGAAGGTGCCGGCAAGGGGAGGCTGGTACCCTCCCACAATCACAATTGAGTTTTGCCAATAGAACCGGTGACCTTGACAGACAGCAGAGCAGAAAAGGCGACCTGCTATGGCTTACCTGCAACCAAGCAACTCCAAAGCGATTTCGCGCCATTGCTTGCCCCAAGGGTCCTGGGTGGGGTGAGTTGGGTGTCTTTTAGGGACAAAACCAGACGACAGTCTAGAAACATACTTTTGCCATCTGTGGGGGAATTTTCGAGAATCTGAGAATGAGAGAGGTAATTAGAACGAAATTTGAAGGGTGGAGCCTAATAGAAAGTTTAAGAAAATGTTGAAATGTGTAAGAATATGTTTGCCAATTGCAAGCATAGTGGTAGCTCTTTAAAAAAAAAAGATGTAGAACTCATGTGTAGAATGACTTCTGATGGTCTAAGAAGTTTCAATACTGACGCCTAGTGTTAAACATTGTTTGAAAACAATTCTTCTAAGGCTGAGTACTGGGAACACTAAGCCAGAAGATCCGTAGTTCAAGGCCAGCCTGTGTTAAAAAGGACCCTGACTGAAAAGAGGAAGAGTTGTTGGAGGGAAGGATGGGGGATGGGGGGTGAGGAGCCTTCTTAAAACCCTTAACTGATTTGATTGTATCACTCAAGGTCTGAGGACTGGTATGGCCTCACTTAGACTGCCCCTTCCAAGGGTTAGACGTGAATCACACCGTGTTAATTCTTAGATTCTAAAACCTGTTTTCTCTGGAAGACTTGTGCAAGCGGTGGGGAGGCATTCTAACCAGCTCTCCTGTGAAGTGCCAGCGTAGGCGGTGAGGATAATGGTGTTTTCTCGGGCCTGCTGGGGTTTCCCGGTTATTAAACAAATGCATAGCTCAGAGTTAAAAGGGAGATGCACAGACCCTTCTACAAGTTAGGTGAAGATTTACCATCCTCACCCAACTCTGTGTGTAGGAGAGTCATGATTTTGTCTTCTTCTTGTCTTCTCATTCCTGTGGGGATTTGGTGCAACAACTGTGTGCTTACTATGTGTCCTGAGGATGAAATTATGTAAATAAGAACAGCCAAATATTTTGTAGGAAGTCAAGCAATTTAACATTAGTCATCAAAATGGAGAGACCCAAGACTGACCTCTGAAATCCCAAGCCCTCTACAGACTCTGAGTCCACAAAATCCTGGGAGGTTTTTGTAGTTCTTGGTTTCCAGTACAGTCAGACTCAGGCCGGAGCGCAGCAGTGAATCATAATATATAAATAAGTAAAAGGACATTGGAAAATAGGACCCCATTAGCCTCATGCTACGTGGCAAAGGTACGAGGTTGGGATGTGGCAACAAAAGATAGTGAGATTTTGGAGACTTTCTAGTTCCCTAGAAAGTCAGAATTTACTTAAAAGCAATAGGTTGCCGTGTGTGTGTGTGTGTGTGTGTGTGTGTGTGTGTGTGTGTGTGAGAGAGAGAGAGAGAGAGAGAGAGAGAGAGAGAGAGAGAGAGAGAAGTCTGTAATAAAATGGAGGGGAAAGGGTGGCTCATGCTGACTCTCAGTTACTATCCTAGAGGAGTGAGGCTGTACCAAAGGATGAATTCCAACATGAGAATTATTTAATATCAAATTTATTCTCTCTGTTACTTGTGTAGGGTCCACTTAAGAGTGACTATCGTATATACAAATAAAGTTCTTCCAGTGAAGAGCCGTTAAACAAGCGCCCTTGCATGGCCTATTTATTGAGTGCAATCCGTTATAAATTCTTGAATCAGAAGAAGGCTGTTCTGTTATGCTGCTGAGGTCATCCCATCTGTTTTATCCTCATGAAATTGGTATGTCTTTTGACAGTTTTAGTTGACTCCATAAAGGGATTCTGAACTGCGAATTTCATTAGAATCTACTCATGAGTAAAAAGAAAAGATTCTTGCTAAGTTTGTTTTTACCTTTGTGACCCTACCTACTTTATGAGGATAAAGTGAACGTAGGTGAAAGCCCTCTATTGTAAAGGCACTTCAGGTACCTGAATACGTCAGAGGTTTCTGGGTCCCCAGGATCATTATCTGACATTTTTACCGAACAAATCAGATTGGTGTTGGACACTCAGGACTGTTATGACAAGTCTCTTCCTGGGGCCGCACGTCACCGTCGTCTGCTCGTCCCAGATAGGAAGCCCCCTGCAAACAAAGGACAAACACCAACCAAGTCCAATGTTCTTATAGAAATATGGGTGAGGGGTGCTTAAGGAACAGGAGCAGAAGTGACTCACAGACAGCTGCATCACCGAAGCCCACCCTAGCTTGGGTGACAGCTTACAAGCCTGAGAACCTGAAGCACACTGCAGGTAACAGCTCAGGTTGGAGAGTTGAGATGCCTCAGCTGGTCTCAGACTCTTTGCAGCTCAGCTCCACTGATGGAGGTCTTCTTGGCAGCATGATTGCCCTTCCGAGGGACTCTCAGCTTCGAAGGCAGGACCTGGTGCCTGGTTAATTCTTGGTCAGTTTCAAGGACTTCCTGAGGCTGCTCTAAGTTGTTCGTCTTCTGCTTAAGGAGCTTCCTGGAGGATGGAATGTTTTAATCCCCAAGGACCAAGAAGCTGCTTGGGTACCCATACCCTGAATTTGTTAGCAAAGGCAGTTGGCAGGCTCCACGTGAGATTAGTGAAGTGTCCGAAGTGTCCTAGCCAGTGATGTCATCCTCACAAGCCGCCATCCCCATTTCCTGTTGGTTTCCTTCCTGTTTTTATTTTTCACTGCCCTGCCTCCCACCCCTCATGACTTGCTTGGCTAAGCTAGGAATTCTTTTTTGGGGGGAGGGGGACGATGTTAGGAAATCCAGTACAGGTGACAATAATTCCTTTCCTTCCAAGAGAGAGTGTCAAAAATGAGCCCCTCTAACCTGTAATTTATGTCCTGCCTGAGGCAACTTTTACACCCTTAAGCCTGTTTGTTTGTTTGAGATTGTTTAAAAAGGACAGATGCTTTTTACATGCCTTCAAGCCAGAAGTAATTGGTCGTAATTATAGTCCCTGTCCACACATAGCTAAGTCTCTAAGCTTGAAAGCGCCCAATAAACATATTAGTTTTCACAGAAGTTTTAAGATTTAATTTTGATGGATTTACCAGAAAGGCAGACTTGTTATTGCTGGTGTCCAAGCACTCTGAGCCTGCACAGCAGCAGTCATGCCTTCCTGCACTTGATACTTCCCAGGCTCAGGCTTGATGAACCAGTAGTGTCCTGCACATAGATTTGCTCTTATTTTACAGTTCGTAATCCTGAGGTCTGGAGCCTTCGCCAGAATCAGACTGTAAGGTTGGCGTTTTTGCATTCCACAGATGAGTTCTGTTTGCCATCCTGAAACAGAACACAGAGATGAACTAAAACATGTTTTTATCAGCAGTCTGCTTATGCACCAAGTGTATATTGAGGGCCTACTATGTGCCAGACAACTTCTAGAAAAAAGAAACAGGGTAGGGCAATGAGCAAGTTAGAGGGAATTGCTAACCTTGTGAAAGTTGCTCGTTTTTGCCCCTCAAGATAGGGTTTCTCTTTGTAGTACTGGCTGACCTGGAACTAGCTCTGTAGACATGGTTGACCTTGAACGCAGAGATCTGCCTGCCTTTGCCTCCTGAGTGCTGGGATTAAATAAAGTATGTCCTACTATACCTGGCTGCTCGTGGGTTCCCTCCCTCCCTCCCTCCCTCCCTCCCTCCCTCCCTCCCTCCCTCCCTCCCTCTTAAAAAATGTATTTGTCAGTCTAAGCCAGGCATGGTGGTGCTTGCTTGTAAACACCAGAACTCTGGTGGCAGTGGAGGCAGGAGTTCAAGGTCATCCCCAGCTACTTGGCAAGTTAGAGTCCAGATTGAACTGCAGGAGACCATCTCTGGTCTTTATTTCAGGTTCTGCTTTCTCTCATTTAACCTGACCAGTTGAATAAAGCTACTAATGTTTGTGACAATTTAGTTAACGAACTTGCTGAGTAGCTAAAGGAGATAAAACACTAATCAGTATCACTTGATGTATGTAGATAGATTAAATTTTCCCTTAAAAACATACGAGTTGATCTATATTAAAAGACATTGACATATTACTAATATGTTGTAGTGATATTTCATTTGTATTTAAATAAATAAAACTTGTCTGAATATCAGAAAGTAAAACAGCCATACTGGTCAGCCTTACAGACCAGGCAGTGGTGGCACACACCTTTAATCCCACCAGCCACACTGGTTAGCAGTAGAGGCCAGGAGGTGGTGGTGCATACCTTCAATCCTAGCACTAGAAAGGAATATAAAACAGGAGGAGAGAGTTCTCAGCTGAGTCTCAGTCTGAGGATTTGTGGAGGCAGGATTGCCATTTGGATCTGAGGTAGAGGTAAGCGGCTGGCTGCTTTGTTTTTCTGATCTTCAGGTTGAACCCCAATATCTGTCTCTGGGTTTTTATTATTCATACTACAATATGTGTGAACACTTGAGCTCCATTTGTTCAAAAAGTGTTAAAGAAAGAAGGTTTATCTAAAAATCAGTTGTAGGAAAGATACCTAGTGACACTTAGCCACTCAGCTGGTTCTGCTGGCCTTGGATGATCAGCTCAGCGAGGCACAGCCAAACACTACCTGTGCTGCCCTAAGCTTTGTTGGAAAAATGATTCAAATTCAAGTATTGGCTCTGCAAGCTAAGGTATTATTATTATTAGATTAGTATTTAGTCCTGTATTAAAAGCAAAGGAAACGAGATGTGCAGCTCAGTGATTATTTAAGGAGCTGCTTCTGATTTTCTCACTGTAAAGATCTTAGCACTACGTAGTGTGAAAGGAGAGGAAAAGCGTGGCCTGTTGGGCTGGAGAGATGGCTCAGTACCGAGAAAATGTGGTATGTGTGTTTTTGACAATGTATGTGAAGCCAGGTAGCTAGAGGTGTCGGTTTGTGGAAATCCTTATTGATAAGTGTCCTTTTGTGGGTTAATGATCTCTTTGGGGGGCTGACTTCAGTGAAAA